GATGTCAGAAAGTTCTCCATTTCATTGAGGTTTTCAAGTTTGTTTTTATACAAGTGTACATAGTAATCTCTGAGAGTTTTTGGTATTTCTTTGAGGTCCATTGTCTTTTTGCATTTCTGATTGTATTTATTTAGGCTTTTTCTCTTTTTTTTCTTGGTCAATCTGGCTAGGGGTCTTTCAGTCTTTTTCATCCTTTCAAAGAATCGAAACAACTTTTTGTTTCATTGATTTTTTTCTATGATATTTTTGTCTTCTGGGTACTGTATATGGGCTTTTACTTTAGTGATCTGGAATTTTCTGCCAATATTAGGAGTTTAGTGGTCTTGCCTTTTCAACTCCTTTAGATGATTTGTTTGACTGGTAACTCATGATCTTTCTATTTCTTGATGTGTGTATGCAGAGCTATACTCTATTATATTATGCAGTGTGTGTTAGGTCAGATTCTTAATTAAGAGCCTGAGATTAAGTCTCTTGTGCAAGTACTTTACTGGGATATTGCTCACAGAAGATATCTTGAAATCAGAAATTACTGAAACCAGAATAGGTCTGGGAAAAACCAGACAGATATCTGCTTATTAAAAAATGTATCTTTAATAGAAATTCCTGAAAGTCTAAGGCTAGGTCAAGGGTTATGTTCTTTTTAAAGCTTGAGAGATTTTATCAAATTATCTTCCAAAGAGGATCACATTTTTCATATCTTCATAGACACCAAATTAAATGTTGATGCTTAATTATCTTGATGTGAAAAAGGTATCACAGTTTTGGCTTTTTTTGCATTTAAAAATATAGAGTATACTTAAAATATTTTTATGAGTAAAAGTAATAAGTATTTTTTCTGAATAAATTATCTTTTTTTCTATAACTTGTTAAGTAACTAATATTTCTTCTTGTTGGAGTGTAAGAATCATAAATATATGCTATAATTACATGCAGCATAAATATGTGTTAAGACTGATAAGTAAATGGGAAAACATTTACTCATATATTATTTGAATGTTGTCTTTTTGACTTTTTGATCTTATGTGAATCACTATTTAATTTTATGTAGTTAGTTTAATTCACCTTTTATAGATACTGAGTTTTATGTCTTGTTTAGAAAGATCTATTCAATTTATAAAAATATATGTTGAAAATTCCACATTTTTTCTTCAAATTCTTTAAAATTTTATTTTGTTGAAATAAAAATTTAATTCATTTCATTTGAGGTAAAATTAAGTTTAGTATACTTAAAGTCAATTTTAAGCTATTTTACACTGAGTAAAGATTTTTGTTGGCTACTGTATGACTATGGGCCTTGTAATATATAAATAATGTAAGTAATTGCCCAAATTTATAAAATTTATGTGTGCTTGAAGACATATATAAAATACATTTTCAAAAGCTGATATATTTGTCTAAGTGGATTTATTATAAATGGAACATGTTAATAATAAAAGTATTAAAAATAAAATACTTGGAAAAACAATAATTTTATTTGAAATATACAGATATTTTTACAATGGTAAACATTGATTTTCCTCTTTTGGCTTAAAAAATTTGAAATATATTTAATAATATAATTATATTTCATATAAGTTATAATATAGTTAAATGAGATTTTTTAACTCTAAATGTTTATTAGAGCTAATAGTGTATAGAATATCAAAATTATTTTAAACTATTCAGTTTGCTTTATTTATCATAATTTGCTTGACTACAAAGTAGTTCATAATTCTGCCAAAAATTGATTGGATCAATTTCAGTACTATTTCATATATATGAATATATGTGAATGTATATTAAATTCAACAACTATTTACACACTGCAGCATTTTTACACATCAAAATGTCAGATGCATCAAGAAAAATATTGCTTTTTAGAATTTTAGACTTTTAAAATTAATACAAGTATTTATAGTGGTCTATAATTATATATTTAAATGATTAGAAACCATCATAGTGATAATGAAATGCCAGTTTTTGAGAAAAAAAAGGATACTTTTCAAAATGGGTATTTAGCTAATCTTAGTTCAATCTTTTTAAACCATTAAAACGACAAATAATTTTAAAATATAAATATCACAAATTAGTATTGACCATCTCTATATAATACCTTCATATCTAGTTGATGTTTTTAGTATTTTTTATTCCATTGCATTCAGATTGTTCCTCCTAGTGCATCTGGGAGACTTTAAGTGTTTTAAATAGATCAAAAAAGGATTACAATGGTTTAAAAATGTAAAAGTTTTTGTATTCTGTTGCTTTTTAAAACATGAGGTTTATAGTTTATGTCCAGGATATTTTAAAGTTAAATCATTGCATTTCTGGATTTGGTTACAGGCATAATTTATTCCCAAACAGCTCCTCCTTGTCAATGGTGAGAATCTCTGCCTATAAGGTGTTTATTTCTTAGCAAGTATTTTTAGTGAATATTACTCTCAGGAGAGTTCATGGTCAGAACTAAACAAAGTTAATGTTTCCTGTCATCAGTGTTGTAGATGTGGCTGTGATATTTGCAAGAGCAGACAGATATTGAGTCAGGTTTAAAAAAAAAATTCACTCAATAAATAAACACAGTCAATATACTAAATATTTATATCAGCATATATATTGAACTGTCAAACAGATGACTGAGTTGGGAATGATTCAGAATACACACACACACACACACACATATATATATATATTTTTTTTCTAGTTGTAGTCTCACTCTTGTTGTCTGTCCCAGAAAATATTTTAAGAACTAATATAGACTGTGTGTGGCAGCTCAACCTGTAATCCCAGCACTTTGGAGAGCCGAGGTGAGAGGATTACCTGAGTCTGAGGGTTTGATACTAGCCTGGGCAACTTGTGAGACCTCATCTCTACAATAAATCAAAAAATAAGCCTGCATGGTAGCTTATTTAAAAGGAGCCCCTAAGCCAGGCTCGGTGGCTCAGCCTGTAATCCCGCACCTTTGGGAGGCTGAGGTGAGTGGATTGCCTGAGCCCACGGGTTCGAGACCCGTCTGGGCAACTTGGCGAAACCTCATCTCTACAATAAGTCAAAAAAATTAGCTGAGCGTGATAGCGTGCGCCTGTAGTTCCAGCTACTTGGAAGGCTGAGGCGGAAGGATCGCCGGAGTCCAGGAGGTCGAGGCTGCGGTGGCCGGGAGCGGCCACTGCACTCCAGTCTGGGTGACAGAGTGAGACTCCAGCTCAAAAAAATAAAAATAAAAATAAAATAAATAAAATAAAAGGATCACCTAAACCCAGCATGTTAAAGCTATGGTGACCGTGAACTCCAGACTGGGTTACAGAGAGACTCCAACTCTCTCTCTCTCACACACACACACACACACACACACACACACACACAGAAAGAACTAGTGAATATGATAGTATGTATGGCACTAGTAAGAAAGAAAAATCTGATGAGATGTTTTGGAAATTCAGTCATCAACACTTCAGTGATAGACGTGTAGAGATGACACTTAGATGGGAAAATTACTGTTTACATTATTTGGGTATTCTGTCTTTGGGAAGAATATGGGAATCTGGTATTTAGAATAAATACTAATAAAAAAGATCACAGACATAATTAAGCTTTTGGTTTATTCTATGTGTTTTTTGTGACTCTTGTCAACAGACTGGTCATTACCCATACTTGTTTTTTTCTAAATATTGCAGATGAGAATAAAATAAAACAGCTGAATAGAAAAAGAGTTATCAATTTTCTGAAAATTTTCTCTGCCAATGTATAACTGAATCATGTTTGCTGAATTTAACTGATAATACATGTTTGAAGACTAGTACTACTATGAAATGTAAAAGATATTATCATCTTTTCAGTTTTGAACCCTATACCATAGTTAAATCAGTCCTACTTATTCTGGTAAATAAAAATGGTACCCTATTTTAAAGTATTAACCTTTTATAGCATTTTCTGATGTAAAAGTCATGGTTATTCCTTAGCAAAAATGACTATTAGAATGTTTTGTCCATGTATTTCTCATTAGCTAAATAATAAAAAAAGAAAAATTGGTGCCTCTTCATACATTTTGGTGCTATATAGTGAAAAAAATTAATAGCAATTTTATGTGGGCCCTTATTATTGATACACTGTATTCATTTTCTACTTTTCAATGACTTTGAAAATGATCTTGTACAGTGGTGGCTTCTTATTATCCAGAAAGGTACTAGGAATAGGTGTAATCTCATTATACCCACAACTACTCAGTAGAAAAATATGCAATATTTATGTGAATATCAGCAAGACAGTATAGTTGAATAGCTTCATTTTCTCTGCTATAAGATAGTACAATTACATTTATTTTTCTAAATGTCAAACTCATAAAATTATACAGTGACAATCAGCACAAATGCAGAGTTGCCATTTGTGTAAGAGAAATGGGTTATAGGATAAACCTCTAATTTAGTTAATGGAATTTTGAAATTGAGTTTATAACCAAACTGAAATTAAACACAATGGTCTTAGTCGACTCTATTTTATAAACACTTACATTTTTATTGCTAATTCACCTAATTGAAGTCAGGAGTAAATACACCATTAGCTCCTGATAACTTAGGTTAGGATTGAGTTTTAGTGTTACAAAGAACATGTAAATGTTCAAAAGAAAGATGCATAAATACACTGTATATTGTTAGTAACACAAGAAAACAAATAATTTAAATTAAAATTATTTTGGATCTAATTTTAATGCTTATTCAGATAACTTGTAACATTATTAAGCTTATATTTTAAATCATTTTTATTAAAGTAATTAATTTGTTGACATATAAAAAGAAAATAGCAATAAATAATACCTTTGCAATGTCTCCTTAAACCAAGCAAATACATAGGTAGATATTGTGGTATTTATACAAGGATTATAACTTAAAATATTAAAATACTTTAATGTAAAAAGAAGTCATAATATGAAATGATTTTGAATATAAATATAGTTAATATTTAAAACATTAATTAAAATAACACAATTTATCCTTTTATTTTATTTGTATTTTGAAGCAGGATTTTTTTTCCCAGTAAAGTTCTTTTATTTGGATTCAGCCTAAAATAGCTTGTTTGATCTCTCTTTGATAGAGAAATGAAATCTCCAGTTCTATAGACTGTAATAGAAAAGTACTGAATTTGCATATTTCCAATAAAAGATATTTGCTTCATGCTTTGGGCCTCTACCATAGTTACCCAAAAGACTATTTCCAGTAAATATACCTGTAACAGTATGGAAGGGCTCAGAATTTAAATTTCCTAACTCGGAAAACTGTCCTTGTGTTACCATAACACACACAGTCTTTAGTCAGTTGACTATTCATATTATTTGAAAACCATGAAAACGCAGGTTTGTAATGTACACACCTAGTTGGAAAAGGACTCACTCCTCTGGGAATGCCATCGTTCAATGTGGCAGGGCCGAGAACACCTGTGCAGGTAAACTAGCAGGTGGGCATCTCCCTGGTTTCTGCCGTCATCTCCTTCCTTAATGGGTAAGTACACCAGCCAGGGAAGGTCTAGGCTTTTCACCCGGCTTATGATTTAATCTTCCACAGTCTGATGTCAAACCCTAGAAGATCACTTATAACACCTGAGACAGCAGAAAGGATAACGACTCTCTTGATATTGTAGATCAAGGGGTTCATTGTCAGTCCATAGAGTCGAAATGGTGTGTCCAGCTCTTTCAACAACTTGGTGGATAGCTTTAATACATTGTTTACTAAAGTGAGCTGTTCTTTCCTATTTGGCTTTTTTTCCATCTTAAGATATAAATTAATCTGTTCAGTAAGTAAATCGAAACATTGCTGTATTTCTTATTAGTTTCAGACCCCAATGAGGCCAGGTGCAGTAGGAAAAGTAGTAAAGTTGATTCCCAGATCAAAAACTCCCAATTATAAGCATCATTCAGGAAAGTTTTATGTCCTTGGAGAACCTGGGCACAGCAGAAGAAAGCAATCGAAAGCGTCAGCAAGAAGACCAAGGACACACCACATCCACTGAACGCTGGGGACCCGTCTCTTTAAGAAGGAACGCAGTGACAACCATATTTTAATATTCTCCACCTTTTTGAGTCTGAAATGAGGTATTTCATACTTCCTAGCTTTCCTGGCAGAAGTAGTATGGCTGAAGAGTTTTGCAAATAAAAATCTCTGTTTATGTGTTCTCTCTGCCACACACATCATAAAAAAAAAAAATAAAAAACAAACAAACAAAATCCAAGTAAGACAGTCTTTCAAAAAAAATTAATTATAGTCAAAATAACAACAGGGGTAACAGGTGGTGCCCCACAAAAAAGAGTCAAGATCTCCTCTGTTGAAATGGACTTCAGCTGGTCCAGGCTCTTCTCACGGAAAGGTCGATGTAAAAAAGGGAAAAACGCTAATCCAATGGTGACAGCGTTTCCCAGCATCTGGTAACCTACTCCTTGCTGATATGCGTTAACCCTACTCGTGATGATGCCGCTTATTTCTAACACAGACATATCCATCTTTTTGCACTCATTCCCTTCCCAGAATATTGTACTAACGCGATCAGAGGCGGGACTTGAGTTCTGAAGCCAGAATAAATGGTGCTGCTGGAAAACATCCTCTTTGGGGTCGCGCTTGGTCCCCGAGTGGAGCGTATCCACATGGGCTCCCTCACTATCACTGGTTACAGACGACCAGCACTCCGGGCCATGCAGCAAGTCATCCTACAACATATCCTCAGTCTCCGAGTCGTGGCGGGTGCTTTCTGAGTCTCTTCTTGACATAATCAGGCTGCGAGAGCCACCACCCACACCAGACCTGGAGCCCTGGCTGAAGGCTGCTGACTCAAATTCCGATTCCGCCAGGCTATCTGAATCCCGCACGAAATGACACCACCTGGAAGTGGTTTTCCTTACCTGAGAGTTGAGGTGCCTTGAAAGTATCGACTTTCTGTTCTTAACCTCACACCCGTTGTCACTGGAGGCCGCCTCCACACTCTTGCGCAGCGGCAGCATCTGCGTCCGAGCTTCACCATCTTCCTCGCTTGACAGGTCAAACGCCTGAAAGCCTCCCTACGGCCATTTTCTCCATCCAAAAATTTTGCTTTCTATCTTGTTTGCCACATTCTAATCGCTGGGCGACACTGTCGCTGCTTGATGATAGGATGAAGACTTGAGTCATTGTCGGTTTCAGTCCCTTTGTTAGATATTAATTTTACTCTTTTAATCCTGTTGCCAAAGATAGTCTCCCCAAAACCACCAACAATGGATGTAGATTTCAAAGTTTCTACTCCTCTAAGTTTATCAGAGGAGTTATTATTTCCATTTTCTCGGCTCCCATCACCATTGACAGTTTTTCGTAATTTTCTTCTCCTTCGGTTTCCATTGTTTCCGGCGGGCGGGGTAATCTGAGTGGCTACCATTTGGCCGTGGACAGTTCCCATGAGCAGCATAAGGCACAAGGGTCCAAGCACTTCACTCGCGTTCACAATGGGCATCAGCAAGTATAAGACAACCGCTATAACTTGCATGAGGTAAAGCAGTAGCAGACAAAAATTCTTAAAGAGGTAACCTGAATCCACCAATTGCTGAGCAATGGGAAAGCTACAACTCGAACAAGCCCCTTCCGAGTCAGAGACGTCCACGGAATTTCAGGTTTCGCTTTGGCAAATGTTGAGTCTCTGATTAAGTCAATGTCAATCAAGTCTGGCTTTATGTGACCTGTCTTTTTTGGTTTGTTTTTGAAACCCTTAATCTGAGTCTGTTCAACTGACTTTTTCCGTATCTGCTGATCGTACTCCCCAGTCTTCTTTTGGTACCACGATATAGCATCTCTCTCATTTGAGGCCACCTGGGTCTCCAGCCAGAGAATGGGATTTCACTGGTGCCCGCGGCCCCGCAGGATTTGTTAAGAAAGCAGAAAAGCTCTCACAGTGAGAGGGAACCTGAAGGGTTTGCCCTATACTTATTTTAAACATTAATAAAAATAATAAAATTTGGGCCAGGTACAGTAGCTCATGCCTGTAGTCCTAGCATTTTTGGAGGCTGAGACAGGAGTATTTTTTGAGCCAGAAGTTTGTATCCTATGATACAACAAGACCTCAAGTCGACAAAAAAATTAAAAACTATTAGCTGGGAATGGTGGCACACGTCTGTAGTCCTAGCTACTTGGGAGGCTGAAGCAAATAGGTCACTTGATCCCTGGAGTTTGAAGCTGCAATTGAGCCATGATCATGCTCCTGCATTCCAACTTGGGCCACAAAGTGAGAACTCGAATAAAATAAATATAAAGTAATAATTATTATTATATACAATTTGTCCATTATTATCAAATCTTGGGACTTATCTCTTTTATGTTTGCAAAATATTGAAATTATTAATAACAACCACAGCAATGTCATGTTGAGAACCTATACATAAACTTTGCAAATCTCATTTAGAGGACACACTCCTTAATTGAATTATCAAAAAAAATCAAATTTATTCATTTATTAATAATAACTATCACTTGCTAAAGTTATTTTTCCAGTGATTATGCGAAGCACATTTTTCATTTTTCATAAGTGTTATGATGGAGAAACTACTATTACCCACATATTACAGATGAGAAAACTGATGCCTTCAGAGAATTAATAGCCTGCTAATATTGGAAATGTTCTAAATGGTGGCGACTGCATTTATACCTACTCTGTGGTTGTGGAGGTCCTTTTCATTGTTTTTCTCTCATATGTAATAACCTCAGTGAGATAAAGTTGGAGGCTTGGCTCTGCAATTAACCCTACACAGAAGACAAATGCATTAGGATGAGACCTTAGAGAATTATATACTACATCTTCGTTATTATGCCATTTTTAGATGAGCTACCAGAAAAAATGTAAACAAATGCAGGTCAACTGTATACTTTTAAAATGAGAAGTGACATAATTTTGCCCTCAAACAAAAGTGAATGATTACCTCAGTTATTTACCAGATTCCAGACTCAATACTGAGATTCTACATGTGTGTTTTATTTTATTTATTGGTGAACTGATTTTTGTTACTTTTCATGTGCAATGTATACTTATGAATTAAAATTACAATAATGATAATTTGAACAGCAAAGCCATTTATTTTTATCAATATATTTAGACCAGGCTTTTCTTGTTTAGGGTGAATATTAAGCAATACACACATAAACATATATTTAATTCATGATATAGCTATATTAATACATAGGTAGCTATAGGAAAAGGAGTAAAAAGCACATACTAAACCACTCCATTTGAAGTTTAAATATTTACTTTACTTTTTACCAATGAATGTTTTAAAACCTGTACTTACAAGAGACAAACAGAAATTGTTTGTATTTTCAATTATAAAAGAGAATGAAAAATAATTTCAGAACAGACTTTTAAAATATATCTTACTAATGATTTATTCACATAACATTATACTCCAAGCTGCATGACTGGCAACAATTGAAACAATACTTGCAGAATTTGGCAGATTAATAGCATCTTTAGTTTAACTCAGCATCAAAAGAATTTAAATCTGCTTCTAGACAATAATTTCATAGTGAAGTTCTACTTCTGGGTAGTTTTATGATAGACTGAATCATAACTCCCATATGATTGCATTAAAAACAGTAACACAAGTAGTCAAAAATCATTAAAACTTCTCCAATGAAAATATGACCCTCATAAATATCAGACAAATGAATTTATAATTATTTTTTGGTTTTATTAATGGAAAGATAACATAAATCCATAGATGAATGTTGGCAAAACTACTCTAATAAGGAAACAATATCTTAGTTTTATAGGTCTTTATTTAAAGTTTTACATCTTGTTTTCCAGATATGAAAAAAATGTTTGTAAAATAACATACAAATGTGTTAGTTAGAATCGCAGAATATTCACATCTGTATGAAATTACAGTTTTGTTTCCTTATGATAATTTCAACAGAAACGATTATTTTCAGGCATCCCAACACCCAATTGTGTTGTATTTGTCTTGACAACATGAAAAGTACAATAATTAATTTATATGAAATTTAGTTATAAATCTAAGAAAATGTTGTTTTAAAAATGAAGAGTGGGAGTGCCTGCATAATGACCATTTGTATACCTAACCCTGAATCATAACACACATCTGCAAAATAAAAAAAAATTAAAAGAAATGAAAATAAAACAAAGTAAAAATGCAGGTTAAAGATTAAAATCATTAACAAATAAGCATCATTACTTAAGTCATTTTATTTTTGTAATTTTGGGATTATATTCATTTTTGCATATGTCTTCTCTAATTAAGTGTGCCAATTTTAATCATCTTTATTGTTTTATTAAGAAGTCATTAAGTAAAGTAAATTACTTCGCTATAGTCTTTGAAAATGTTAGCTTTTTACACTACTCATGCTTTAAGTCAGTCTTCCAAATGTATCTTATTTAGTGACATTGTTTTTACCACACAGCACCTATTAGTTATACCTCATAATGTTGAATTTTACCTAAAACCTAAAGTCCTGAAAATCAAGAAAAGTTAAAGGAATCCCATCACTCTTTTGTGTTCTTTTTTCTTTTTTTTTTTCAATATTTTTTATTGTGGTTTTGTGGGGTACAGTTAAGGGTTAGGCATACAATTACATTTCATTCAGGCACCCTGTTGATAAGAGGTGTTTCCCTGTCCTCAGATATTTGCTACTGTTAATCCCATCTCCCTCCCCCCCATAGTTTCCCAGTACCGTCAGTCATTTTCTTATAGTATTATATTGTATGTTCAAGGTCCATTATATGAGTGAGAACATGTGATACTTGGATCTTTGTTTTTGTGAGAGGTCACTCAGCAGTATAGACTCTAGTTCCATCCAGGTTACTGCGAAATTCATGATTTTGTTCCTTTTTATGACTGCGTAGTATTCCATCGTGTATATGTACCACCTTTTTTTAAATCCAGTCCTCTTTTGATGGGCAGCATGGTTGTTTCCAGGATCTTGCTGTTGTGAACAACGCTGCGATAAACATACATGTACAAGTATCTTTTTTATAGAGTGATTTGAGTTCTTCAGGGTATATTCCCAGTAGTGGGATTGGGGGGTCATATGGAAGGTTGGTTTTTAGAGCTTTTAGGAATTGCCACACTGCTTTCCACAGAGGTTGCACTAGTTTACACTCCCACCAACAGTGTAGAAGTGTTCCCTTTTCACCACATCCTCTCCAGCAGCTGTTATTATTTGAGTTGTTGATAATTGCCATTCTGACTGGAGTTAGGTGGTATCTCAGTGTGGTTTTGATTTGCATCTCCCTGATGATTAGTGAGGTCGAGCATTTCTTCTTGTATTTGTTGGCTGCTCGGATGTCTTCTTTTGTGAAGTGTCTGTTCATATCTTTTGCCCATTTTACAATGGGGTTGTTTGTTTTTTTTTTTTGTTTTCAGCACATTTGAGTTCCTTGTAGATCCAGGATGTTAAGCCTTTGTCAGACCTGGTGTTGGCAAATACTTTTTCCCAGTCTATAGGCTGTCTCCCTGCTCTCTTGATGGTTTCTTTGGCTTTGCAGAAGCTTGTCAGTTTAATAAGGTCCCACTTGTCTATCTTCTCTTTTGTGTTCTTAAAAGAGACTTATGCCAGGGAACCACAATTCCCCATATGACTTATACAAGACTCATGGATGATCTTTTTATTTAGCTATATGAAGACAGACACAGATCCTCCAAATCCTTATTGTTTACTTCATACATAATTAACTGAGCTGTTTTATTTTAATGATAACTTGAAACAAAATGGTAAGCTAACATTGGTTCCTTAAGGCCCTTGAATTTTGACATACATCGGCTTGAGCCAGCATAACAATCCTTCCTTAAGGTTCCTTAATACCTTAAATAGGGTGACCTTGGGTAAACGGGTAGATCTACTATTCTGTCATATTATGATAGTATGCCACTTCATCATCCAGTTATTTCTAGTCTTGTTCATGCCTCTCTTTAAAACAAAAAATATTTTCTGCTGAATGTAATAGTACTTCCTCAACCACTTATTATTCTTTCAAATAAAGTGTCTCTTTACTTTACTTAACTCTGGGTTTGTTTATTATTTGACATTCTATTACTCTGATTCTTAATAATATCAAGTTTCCACAGTCTGCTTCAACAACCTACCACTTTAAGAACCTCACTCTCTGACTGGCATCCTTTTTTTAAAAAAATTTCTAACACTTTCCACCTATTGGCTCAAGTACAATATTCCTACGGCTCCACTAGATTTTATAATTGGTAATATTTCCCCCATCTCTTAGTCTTCTCAAATATTTTTTTTGGTTTCTCCTTAATATATCATTACTATCTTTTTTGTGTTTAAGACCTTTAACTTGATTGCTTTTTTGTTTAGTCATATTCATCTTTCAATGGTTTGAATTTGTGTCTATTTAACACTGGCTAGAAAAAATTATAATTATCCCAATTGTCCTCAATGTTATTTCATGATCCTTAACTTCAAGTGGGATTTCAATGCTGTCAGGCAATCATTGGCAATACATTCACTCTCTGGCATTTTAAAATTGCTGCTTTATGTCTTCTTATATTTTCTTTAATCAGTATTACCACCTTCTTATCTGTACACTCAGGTAATAACCTTGCTTCCTACTTCACAAAGAAAATGATCACAAAACAACTTCCAGAAAAGCTCAAAATACATTATACTCATACACCTACTAACATTTGGCTCTGCATAGTTTTCTTTTTTTTCTAATATAGAAAATGAGATATTTACATCTTAAAACTAATTCATGCAACAAAGTCTACACATTCTTGCTTTCTAAGGACATTATAACAGCAATGTGTTTTTTTCTGTCCAATATAATTAATAGTTCCCTCTCCATTACATAATTCCCACAAGCATACAAGCATGCTTTCATCTCTATCATGT